CCCATTTTTACAGGAGTAGTCCGGGCTGGGGAGTGAGTTCTGCACTCGGAAGGCCCCACGTGTTCTCTGGGCCACACTCAATCAGTCCACTGTCCTGTTCATTCACCAGATTTGAGCTGCTCCAGCACACAAGGCAGAGAAGGAAAGAAGAAAAGGGGGTTCTTCCAGGTCCCACCTCGATGGGAACTCGAAGCCCGCAGGCTGCACATACCCAGTTGACGAGGACAAACTTGGGCAGGCCGGAGTTGGGGTCCTTCACCCTGCAGAAGGCGTACATCACCTTCCCGCTGTTCAGCTCCTCCACCATCTCCTCCAGGCCCCCGTCTGCGACAGTGACGAGGAGGGTCAGAGGCGGCCCGGGCAGCCGGCACCCGCCCTGACACCTAGTCCACCAGGGACGGAAACCCGAGCTGCCTCGAAGCCAGGGTTCTCAGCCCCGCCTGCGTCAGAACCCGTCTCCTGGGCCTGCCCCCACTGAGCTAACTTACAAGAACAGGAGGGGACCCGGGGTCTGTGCCTGTGAAAAGCACCTGGGGTGATCTTTTTTTACCCACACTAGTCTATAAACCACTCCTGTAAACCCACAGGTAATTCTAGAAATAAAAATGTCGTGTCTGCGGCAAGCCAGGCAGGCACCAGACCTCCAAATGGAGGGTTTCTACGATTTTACCATTTCCTAGACTCCACAAAGCGACCTGGATTAGCAGGGCCCGCTGTGAGTCCCCCCTGCCCCCACCCAGATGTCTGCTCAGAATCCAGGGCCACCCAGGGGGTCCCAAGCCAATGTTGACATCCCACAGCCACACAGGGGCTCGGCTCTTACACTCTCTGCGTAGGGATAAGGGAGTGATGGGGACACAAGAGTGGGCCACCCTGGGCCATCCTCCCCCGACATGGAGGCTGTGACCTCCAGCATGTACTGGAGTTTGGGGTTCTTATCAGGTACCCCAAACCTCCCCAGACTGTGAGGAGTAGCTGGCTCAGCTACTTTAGCTACGGGGCTGCAGGGAACCAGGGGCGGTCCCGAGGCCCTGCGCCGGGCACTCGCGGCAGAGCGTGAACACCACTGCAGGGTGGTATGAGACTCGGCTGAACTCCGCACCTCCCAGTCCCCTCCGCAGCCCAGCGCCCCCGAGACCGCCGCCAGCGGCAGTGCTAGGAAGGGCACCGTCACCGAGTGGTGCTCGTAATAGGGAGGGGCTTTCTATCAACAAGTCAGCCGAGCCATTGGTGAGAAACAAAGGGAAACCAAGCTGGGTCACGCAGGTCAGCTGAGGAGTCAGGGTATCAGGCGGGGGGCCTGCAGTTCACAGCCCAGTGTCTCGGCCCAGACCCCTCGGACAACCTCTGCCCAGCACTGGCCGAGGGCCACTTCCGCCTGAGGAACTTCCTCACCCCGTATCTGAGAAGCACTGGTCCAGGCCACCGCGTCCCAGCTGACCACGTGCACTGACGTGACCGCGCGGGCGAGGGTGTGCCCTGCAGGCACTGAGCCCCCAGGAGGAGGGCAGGGGCAGGACGTCGGCACCTCCTCCTACTCCACCGGCACCCAGCTCCCAGGGACCATCACCCTCCCAGCCGCAGCCCCGGGCTGGGTGTGCGGCACGGGCCGGGCCCTGGGCTGCCTGCAAGCTGGAGAGCGCAGGCCCGCTTCCCGTCCTGGCTCCTCCCGACTGCAACACAGACAGAGAGCAGCGCTGCCTTGCACCACGAGGCGGAGAGAGCCGAGAAGGACGTATTTTCACTAAGAAACACCTGAAACCCAAAGGTGGCCAGACTAGCTGTGAGGGCATGGGGCCCCACACTGCTCGGTGGAGGCCTCTGCCCTGCCTGCGGGGCTGCAGCCGCTCTGCCTGGTCCAGCCCCCGGATCGGGGGACGAGGGAACTCCCCAACATTGACACTGATGTGGGGTGGGCTCACCCTAAGCCAGGGAAGGTGTCACTGCAGTCAGGCCACATGCAGGCGACACCTACGCACCGAGTCTCCTGCCTCCGGCTGTGATGGCTGAAATGCCAGCAGAGACGGGGCACTGACGTCACGGCTCTCCCCCCTCCGCGCACCCCATCCTCCCGTCCTCCCGTCCTCACTCCTGACGCCCCACAAGAGCCCCCCGCTTCCTCGCCTGATTGTACTCACCCCCAGTGCCGGCCACACGTATGTCATTGCTGTTCCCTTCGTAGGTGAAGAGAGCCCTGAAACAAAACACAGACAGCCCTGTAGCCGGCGCACGGGTCACCGTCTGTCCTTACTGTAGCCGCCAGGGCTCCGTGCTGCACCCCAAAGGGCTCAGCCCGACGGCAGCGCTGCGGGCTGCCGCGGGCCCCGCGATGAACTCCGCCGGCAGGACCCCGGCCGCCTGCTGGGCCTCGCGGGGCGGCAGCCTTCTCAGCTCACCTGAGCGGCTTGTGATGGACAAACCTATGGTGACGGGGAGCGCTTTGAAGAAAACTACGCTGTGACGTTTTATGGCAACTTTCTAGACATTCATGTGTGAAATACTCGCCTGGCTGCCGGGTTTGTGAATTTGAACCGACAAAAGATACCTGCACGTTCCTGAAACCAGAGCACCCCAGCAGAAGCAGGAAGAACCCCTGCGCTGCTAGTGATGCGCAGTGCCCTGGTGCCTGCCTGCTGTCTTCCGGGCAGACGGAAGGGTTGGCGGAGCAGGTGTCTCTGGGTCCGAGACTCTTCCAGCAGACACAGACTTTTATAGGTGGCCTAGGGCATCACAAGCCACAGGGGCCATGACTCAACGTGGAGTCAGGCCCCTCACAGGACAGGTTCCTTGGTTGCGCAAGCTCTGTATCTAGAGAGGCCACGCCTTTCTTCTCCTGTTAGACTAGTTATTCATAAGAATTCTGGCAAAGACTTGGGCTTGTGCACTTGTGCCTCAGAAGGGTTGAGAGAAGTATGATAGATCTGATTAAATCCAGGCCGGGGACAGTCCCTTGACCAGAACAAAGGGTGCTGAAAAAGAACATTCTGGAAGAGGTGGCTTTCCTGCGGTCCACACAAAGCCCCTGCCGCCAGCACCGACTCTACGGGAGCTCAGCTACAGAGAGTGCTGGAAGGCCACAAGGTGAAGGGGTTAACCCACTGGAGGGCAAGTCAAAGGTAAGACCCTGTGTGGTGCGTCATCTCCCCGTGCTCCGGAGACACAGCAGGAGGCGCTCCAGGGTCGACAGTGTCAACATCAACTCAGCCTCCCCAGGGCCTCGCTACCGCCACTGGGCAGAGTTACGTAAGCCTGGGAAAGTCAGAAGAAATTGTACACAGACCCAGAGATCTGGCCGGAGGGGAGGACGGGCTGCCGGGGAAGAACCCCTGCTTTCCGAGAAAGGAGAGAAAATACAGAAGGAGAGAAACACTCAGAAAAACGGGGGGAAACAGACTTGGGAGATGCGGACAGCCGGACTCTGGTGGCCGGAGTCCTGCCCAGCCTTCCTCCTCTTCTTAAAGGCCACAAAGCTCCGGCTGCTGAAGACAGGGACACTGGACAAGCAGCAGGGCCCAGAGATGGCTGCTCAGCTCAGCTCGTCCAAGAAAGGATGCAGCAGCTAACAAAAGCCGAGCTCCGTGCCTGCCACCTGCCCTCTGACTTCATTCCCCTCCACCCTGCCCCAGCCTAAGTCATTTTCTTGAGTATTCCCAGGTCAGAGGCTCACCACACATTCAATCAAATCCCACTCTTCTTTCAAACCAACATGAGGAAAAAAAAATGGTGTGCTGGCTCGTGCAGGCCTACGGCTCAGGCAGTGTGTATGAACACTGAGCACCTTATAATTCACTCTTTCCAAAAACACACATGGAGAAGCTGCTGCTTGCTGGTGATGGCAATGCAGCTAGGAAGCCCTGCCCGTGGAACATACTTTCTGATGGAAGACACCAAGGAACACACATATCACCACTAATGTACGGTCAGGTGCAGTGAAGCGGTGTGCAAAGTGAGCAAAGGCGCACCAGTATTGGGGGAAGAACCCCCTGGGGGAATCGGGAGGAAGCCCAAGTGTGGAGAGGTGGTGTTGTGGCTGGTCCCCGCTCCGCCTGGCTCCAGGGCCCAGGCCAACGCACCCACTCTGCGTGCGAACCTTTTTACGACCCACCAAACCAGAGGCCACGCCTTCCTCTGATATCCTCTACTGCTTTTTTCTGTATCCCTCAGTCCATCCTTCATCGGAGCAACGTAACAGTCCTGCTCCAGGGACAAAGATGGGGCTCACCCCACCCTTTCTGGGGAAGACAGAAAGGGGACAAGAAAACCAGTGAGGGTGTCTGGCGTGTGTCCGAAGGAAGTCAAACAGGGAAATGGAAGAATGTGACTGCAGCTGGGGACCCAGGAACCAAGAAAGGCCTCTCCAAGAAGACAACATCAGACATGAGAAAGGAAGTTTGGGGGCCCCCTAGGAGGATGTAGAAGGGCGCTCCAGGCAGAGGAAGCAGCAAGAACCAGGGCTGTGAGGAGGAACCAGTGTGCAAGTTTAAGGAAGAGAAAGAAAGCTAGCGTGGTGGTACACAGGTGTGACCACAGCACAGCAGTCAGGAGCCGGGCCGGCCGAGGCGAGGAGCCTGGGCTTTATTCGTTATGCAACAGGAAGCCACTGCAGAATTCAAGAGGGGAAGTGACATGGTCTAGGTGTTTTTTCAACTAGTGAATGAGGACCTGCCCCACAGGATCTGCCCACATTGACGTGGCCCCAGAGATTCTGCAAACCCAGGCTGCTGGTGTTCTGAAGCTCTTCCCCAAAAGGCCTGGGGGTGAAGTAAAGGAAAGGCTACAATCCGTCCTCAGGGTCACAACAGTGCACTGCATGAGAGCCACTCTGCGCCGGGCACCAGGGAAAGCAGAGAGGAGAAAGCAGGGGCACTTGGCAAGGGGAGAGGGCCCCAGTAGCACAGCCACGCCAGCGGGCCCTTTCCCTGGAAATGAGAAAAGGCTCCAGGAAGCTGGTCACCTTGGTCCATCACACTCCGCATATTTCTCAGAACTGATTGCTCAGACCTGGTCAGTGGAAACAACTTCAGCAAAAGGGAAAGTAAGAGAGAACGACCCCCCCTACTCGCAGGCTGATCACATGAACGGGGGGCCCGGGGACTTCGGACCCAGACTCCCAGTACTACAACGCCCCGAACCCTGACAGCCTGGAGAAGGGTGTCACCGGGAGGGGGAGGGAAGATGGGACCCTTCCCCAAATAGACAGCCAGCGCTATCCTGTCATTCATCTCTCCATGGCTCAGGCATAGACAGAAATGAGTATTCTTGGCGAAGGGGAGGTTCCGAAATACACATTCACAGAGAACGAGGGACTAAACCCCTCGACCTCCCTGTCTGGCGCCTCCGGAGCAAGGCTCCCATTCCCAGACCACGCTCGGGGCCCATCCCCGAAAACGGCGTTTGGAAGAAGCCGGGCGTGGCTTCCGCAGGGAGGGCTGTGAAGGGCCCCTTTGTCCAGGGAAGTCCCCAGGCAAGAAAGGAGAACAGCCAGAGCAAAACCCAACACCGAGGCTGCCGGGGCCGAGGCGTGGCTCGCGGCGCGGGAAGGGCTGG